AAGAAGAAGAAGAAGAAGAAGAAGAAGAAGAAGAAGAAGAAGAAGAAACAACATCATCTGATTTATATTTTTATTTTATTTTTTAATGGGTGGGGTAAAGAGAGAGAAAGATAACCCCCTACAAAAGCCACATTCCATATGTGGCATGCCATTATCACAAACACAGGGTGGTAATGAAAATGGGGCAGTTAGGTGGCACAGAGTACTGGGGTGGGAATCAAGAAGACTCATCCTCCTGAGTTCAAATCTGGCCTCAGATACTTGCCAGCTGTGTGAGCCTGGGCAAGTCACTTAACTCTGTTTGCCTCAGTTTCCTCATCTCTGAAAGGAGCTGGAGGAGGAAATGGAAAACCACTCCAGTATCTTTCCCAAGAAAACCCAAAATGGGATCATGAAGAGTTAGATACAACTGAAATGACTGAATAAAAAACGGAAAATACTGAGCTAGCCCTGTCAGAGCACAACTGGAATATTGTGCTCAGTTCTGGGTACCACATTTTAAAAGGGCACTGACAAACCAGAGGAGAGAGAACAGAATATTGGGAGAATCGGAGACTGAGCTATACGAGGACCATTTGAAGAACTAGAAATATTTAGCCTGGAAAAGAGAAGATGGGGGCAGGCTCATAATTTGGCAGTCCTCGGGCATATGAAGGACAACCATGTGGAAGACTTGTTCTGCATGGCCTTGTTAACAAGTTAGACCTAGGAGTAGTGGGTAGAAGATGAAGTTTCTCATGTAAGGGAAAACTTCCTAAGCTACCTGTCCAAAAAGTAAGTGAACTTGCTTGGAAGGTAATGATGGGAACACTGTGGGACAGCCATTTCTCAGAAATATTGTGGAGGAGACTCAGGGGTAGAGGCCAAGATGCCTGCTGAGGTCCATTCCAATTTTGTAATTCTGAGATTAGCCAGCAAGTAAATCATAGTTTGATCATTCTAACAGGGTGCAATTATTGTTAACATCATCCTCTTCATCAATAGTGACATCCTGTCGGAGGGGAGGGAATGATTTAAATGGTGGCAAGGAAAAGGTAATTAAGTAATATCCAGAGTAAACAATGAAAAAAAGTAACATGTAGTATCTTCAAGAAGAGCTGTATGTCTTTCAGGATTTATCCTGAATATTATGGGGTATTTTTTGTTTGTTTGGAATAAATATTCAAATGAAAAATTTTGGCATTAATCCTCTCTGATGTAAACATTTCAGACAAAGGGTGAGAAAAGAAGATCGTATTTTTACACCAAAAGAGGTCAAATTGTGATTATTCGCTATGGCATATGGTTTGCCAAGAAAGCACACAGTGAAATCAGTTTTGCATAGAAGTTGTTACAATGTGTAAGTATTGATAGAATATTTATGGTAAAAATGAAGTTTTAAAGTAATTTTAAAAATAATTTTTAATAAACCCCAGGGGCCTGGATTCACCCAGCACTTCCCTTAGCCCTATGCCCTTTCTTAGTGGCATCTGACAGAACATTTCTCACATCTTCATCTATATCTACTGTAAAAAAAAAAAAAAACAAGCAAATACAGCTTGCTGGTCTCTCCTTCAATTACTTTCAGGCCACTGAGAAAATGACTGATGGCTTTTTGGTACAGGCTATAACTCTGTCTCTAAAATATCCTTTGTTTGTGAGAACCAGTCTTTTCAAATCCTGAAAAGAAAGGACCTAAGGCCAGAAGGAGGCTACCTTTCAAAGGAAGATCTATCATAAATGAAGTAAAATTCCTCATGAACTCAATGATCTGGTTTCTTATGAGTTCTAGGTGGTGCAGTGGATAGAGTTTGGGGCCCAGGAATCAGGAAGACTCATCTTCTGAGTTCACATCTGGCCTCAGACACTTACTTAGATGTGTGACCCTGGGCCAATCACTTAATAACCTTGTTTACCTCAGTTTCCTCATCTGTAAAATAAGCTGGAAAAGGAAATGGCAAACCACTCCAGTGTCTTGACCAAGAAAAGCTCAAATGGTGTCACAAAGAGTTGCCCAAGACTGAAACAATTGACCAACAACAAAGCTATTCCATTCCCAGTTGTACCATGTCTTTGTGAAATTTACATTTGGGGATTACACAGATATTCCACATTGAGCATCATACCTGTTATATAAAGACAAGTTCTAAAAGAATATAGGCAATACCAGTTTGCAACCTTTGTGGATTTTCACATCCTATTTGCTTTGGTTTTTTTTTCTCTCATCTACTAGTAATTCTGTGACATATATTTATATTTTAAATCAACTTAATTTTATTTGGAGCATTTAAACAATTGCCTTTGAAATCATTAGAGATGCCCTTGAGATGCCACAAAACCATGAATTTAGGAAAATTTAGATTAAGTCAGTATTTAAGGTAGCTTTCTTGAAGTTTGAGTTATGTCTGGGCCTTACTTTGAATGACAGGTAAAATTTCATTACAACAAACACCATTACAAAGGACAATTCATTCTAACAGAAATATTTCCATGACTTGACAGCTGGCCCAATAGCAACAGTGCTGTATTGATCTGATCACAAAGAATCGTGTCCCATAAATACCCTGTGCACCCAGGGATACAGAGTTGAGCAGAGCCTTTTACCTTCATTTTAGGTAGCTGATATTTCTATGGAACTTTAAGGTTTACAAAGCATTAACAGATAAGAAAAATGAGGTTCAAAAAGAGGAAGTGACTTGTTCCAATCCAATGTCAATGGTAGGATATGAACACAGGTCTCCTGACTCCCAGTCCTTCTCATCTCAAACTACTCATAGAAACTAAAACTTTAAAAAGTAAAGATTTGGGATGATGAAAAGATGGATGTGATAACTGCATAACATCTTCCTTTTTTCTTCAAAATGGGTTCAAAGCACTTCTTTTCTCTTGGAGAATTTAGAGAGGAGCTAGACTGAGTCCTATACACTAAGAAAATGATTTATCACAATATCACAATAAGATCTTCCTTTTAATAATATAAAACATCCTCTTTTGTATAGTAAGGCCAGTATGCTCTTAAGTGTAGAATTTGTGTCAATGTTGAAATTTTCTCAGGTTTTCAGAAGAGGCTTTAGGCAATAAAAGTGTTACCACTCCCAAAATTAGCCCAGATCCTTCTCTGACACAAATGTTACAAATGCATTTGGTTCCCCACCCCAGGCCCTGGACAATAGAAGCTTGGAGGGAACATAATACCGGAGTTGTGGAAGAAGGATTAAGACTTGTTCTGCTTAATCCAGAGGGCCCAATTAAGGATCAAGAGGTAGAAACTGCAAAGAAGCAAACTGGGGCTCAATGTCAGGAAATGCTTCTAAATAATTAGAACTATGCAAAAGGGGATGAGCTGCCTTGGGAGGAGGCCTTTTATTCAAGGGGTTTTCAGCAAAGACTAAATGACCCACTTGTTAAGTGTGTGATAGAGGATTCTTTGTCAGGTATGAATTGGATTAGACAGTGACTGAGGTCCCTTACCCCTCTGAAATCCCATAATTCTATAAGCTTGGTGACCATTCAAGAGCAATGATTAAAATATATATAGATATAATAATATATTATAATATAGAATACATAGTATATATTCTATAATATATAGTATATATTCTATATAAATAATAATATATATGATGGGAAGTTAAAACCAATAGGTTTTGTTTTCTATTTACCCATGAATTTCAGAGGTGAAGGGGGCATGTATATGTACTTAGTGAAGCTGGTGGGCATCCCAAAAGCAGCTCTATCAAAGGGCAGAGAGCCTGCTCACCCCAAAATCCTCCTGACTGAGCAGTATACAGATGCATTTCTGCATCATTATTACATATAGGATGCCCTCTATTAACCAAATTAGCAACCTTGGGAAGTCAAAGATCAGCCTGAGTGTATGGTGTATATTTTATTGTAGCTTTCTATATTTTTGTATTTTGACTAATTCACAGTATCTACTCATTTCTGTCACAGTCAGGAGCCCTGGGAGCTGGCTTTGCTTACAAAGGCCTTGTACAACAACATTGCTACTATTGGAGTGCCTCTTTTTGAAGATATTAATTATGGCATTCCTTTTAAAATAAATCCTGGAAAAAAAGCAGAGGATGTGCTACTGCCCACCGCAGAAAGTGAGCTCCTTAAATACGTCTAAATTGTAAATTTGGTCACATTTTTCTTGTTGGTTAAAATGTTTTTAACTTAATCCAGATATTCTTTAACAAAAATGATGAAATGGATTTACAATCGCATACACACTCTACTGTTCTCTGGCTGAGTGTCCAGCACATACTGGTGGCTCAATAATGAAGACAAAACATCTTTATGTTCAATTTTCAGGGTGTGATTGTCTAAGAGTCAAAAAAAAAATTGTTTCAAACCAAATTATGCTTGACAAAAAGTCCAACTATATGTCTGTTTCCTATTTATCACATCTGTCCCCTTCTCATTACTCACACAACCACCAATCTGGTTAGTCTCTTAACACATCTCACCTAGACAATTCCAGTTGCCTCCTAAATGGTCTCCCTGCCTCAAGTCCTCTCTCCTTTGGGTTTCATCTTCAGTTGTCCTTTGCTATGTCTCTCCACTAGATCTAATGACTCTGGAGGAGAGACTGAGGCTGATTTTGTACAGCTCTTCCTCACTTAAATCCAATTCACTTGCAAGTCAAGACATCACCTTCCCGATGTCCTTGGTCCTCTTTGAGAATGAAGGGCAAACAACCTCTCTGCTCTCCAATCCATTCTCCACACAGCAAATTATTGTTCCTAAAGCTCAGATCAGGCCATCTCACTCCACTGCTCGATGAACTGTGGGAGCTTCCTATCGCCACTGGGATCAAAGTATAAATTCCATAATATGGCATTTGAGACCTTTTATAGAATACCTTCTGCCCATCTTTCCAGGTTTTTCCCCTTTATATACTCCTCAGTCCAATCAAATTGTTGTTTTTGCACACATGATGTTCCATTTTTTTTCTCTCCTTCAAATCTCTAGCTTCCTTCAAAATTCAGCTCAAGTGAAAAGATTTTGCTAATCCCCACAGCTGCTAGTGACTTGCCCCTCCCCAAATTACTTTGTATATATTTAACATGTATTCATATATGTGCCTAGGTGTATGTGTTCCATCTAATTGAGTATAAGCTCTTTCATGTCGGAAACTTTTATTTTTATCTTGGTACGATCAGTCTGTAGCCCAGTGCTGGGCACCCAGTAGCTACTTAATAAATACTTGATGTTTTGATTTTTATCTTTAGCAATAGAAACTGAAAGGGCATATGAACTGAAGCACTTACATGAAATTGAACTTCAGAAAAATGCAGCGGAGCAAATTCAGTCTTTGCTGAAAGATAAGAAAATTGGTTTAAGAAGACCTCTTCCACCCAAGAAGTGAAGATCACTTTACTATTTAGAGGCATGCTCCTTTGTCTCCCTATCCGAAGGGGATGAGGGGATCCAGACCATTCACCTTATAATACAGCACTTGGTGACCGTCATCAATAAGGAACATTATCTTGGTGGGTGAAAGAGTTCCCCTGATGATACTTCATCTGGTGACCCAATGCACCATCTTCACCATCCCCTGTTGAATCTTTCCTTTGGGCTCTCAGGCTCCAACACCGTAAGTTGTATGTCAGCATTACTTGAAACAATTGTACATATGCATTAGTGATTGTGGGATAGTGGGAAAGAGTCAGTGTGTGGCAAAGTGTAATAGAGTCACAGCCTCAGACTGAGTGAGCCTGGCCAAAACGTGAAGATTCCCAGGGGCAGGCAAAGGCCTGTCTGCATCAGCACAGGGAGTTTCTTCCCTGGGAGTTTTCTACAATTGACAATCTGGTTGTTTGTTTGTTTGTTTTTTCTTTCTTCTTCTCCTTCTTATTTTTTTTTTGAGGCAATCAGGGGTTATGTGACTTGCCCAGGGTCACACAGCTAGTAAGTGTCTGAGGCCTCATTTGAACTCAAGTCCTTCTGACTCCAGGGCTGGTGCTCTATCCCTGCACACACAGGTCTGTTTTTTTTGTTTGTTTGTTTGTTTATTTTGGTTTTTTTTTTTTGGTTAGGCAATGGGCTTAAGTGACTTGCCTAGGGTCACACAGCTAGTAAGTGCTATGTGTCTAGGTCTGTTTTTTTTTAAAGGCAGAAAAAATAGAAGTGAAGGATATTATCTTGAGATAACTCTGAGGTTGGAAGTTTGTCCTTTGTTCACAAAGTTTTGGAAAAGGAATTTCAACCCAAGAGACACTGAAAAGAAGTGCTTTAAAACATAAAAAAAATTTAATTTGGCTTATGATAATTTAATATGTGAATTTAATAGTCACAATGAAACACTTGTGGAAGGAAAAAGGAAAGAAATTTTTTATTTAAAAACAGCTCTTCATATATGTGTGTGTGTGTGTGTATTATATGTACATAGATAGGTGGATGGATGGATGGATATAACAGAGTACTAACAAAATTACCCTATTTTTGTCCCCTTCTATACTTCCTTTTTCTTCTGTGCATTTTAAAAATTTTGTTTAATGCAATTTTGAATTTTTAGCATATACATTATTAATTAGACCACTTGGTATAGTAGAGAGAGAACTAGCCTCAATCTGCCATGTGCCTGTTGGTTATATGTTTGAAGGCACCCCAATCTTCCCAGACCCCCAGGAGTCATCTTGGATTCCTCCCCATCTTATTCTCCATATCCAAGCTGTTGCCAAGACCTGTCGATTTCACTTTTATAACATCTGTCAAATACGCCCCCTTCTCTCCTGACACTGTCCCCACCCTGGTGCAGGCCCTCTTTACCTCATGCCTGCTGGTAGGTCCACTCCAATTTATCCTCTAATGTCAAAGGGATTTTCCTAAATTCCAGGCCTGACCATGTCACCTTCCTACTCAGTAAACTCCAGTGATTCCCTACAGCCTCCATCATCAAATACAAAGTGTTCTGTTTGGCATTCAAAGCCCTTCACCATCTAGCCCCCTCCTACCTTTCCCAGTCTTCTTACACCTTACTCCCCACCATGTACTCTAAGATCCAGTGACACTGGCCTTTTGACTATTTCAAGAACAAGATACTCATCTCTTGGCTCTGGGCATTTTCTCTGGCTCTCCCCAATACCTAGAACATTCTCCCTCTTCATCTATGACTCCTGGATTCCCTGACTTCTTTTCAGTTCCAGCTAAAATCCCACCTTCTACTGGAAGCATTTTCCAATGCCTCTTCACTCAAGTGCCTTCTTTCTGTTAATTATTTCCTATACGTGGTTTGTAAATATTTGTTTATTTGTTGTCTCTGCCATTACATCGTAAGCTCCTCGAGAGCAAGAATGGTATTTTGCCTTTTTGTATCTTCAGCAGTTAGCACGGTGCTTGGCACTTAGTAGAGCACTTAATTAATGTTTATTGACTTTATTACCCTGGGCAAATCCCTTAATCTTTCAGTGAATGACTATCTAAGACCATAAGTTGCATAAAAAGTACCCATGATCTTCATTGGCAAAGGAAGTACCAATCATCTGGGAGCCCCACGTATCAATGAAATCACAAATTCAGTCCATCATTATCCACCAACTTATTATCCCCACGTTTCCCTCCCTTGTAACAAGCATGGATTATCTAGCAAAAATAAATCAACACATTGGAGATGTCTGAGAATGTATACCTCATCCTGCATCTCTAAAAATGCACATCTCCGTTACCTTTCTGCCACTATTGTTTGATGCTTTGATTAGAGTTCTGATGTCTTTCAAAGTTGGTTCTCTTCATATTAATGGTTGTCACAATATACTCCTGATTCTGTCCTTTTCACCGCTTCAATTTGTATACATCTCTCCATGTTTCTTTGAATCTGTCATATTCATCATTTCTTAAGGTGTAATTAAATATACCATTACACTCATATACCACAATTTGTTCAGCTGTTCCCCAATTGATGAGTATTTGTTTGGCTTCCCATTATTTGCTTCTAAGGGTACAAAAATTGAGAAAATTATATTTTAGTAACACTTGATAGCAGAGTAGAAAGAAATATTCCAGCTCAGCTCTCCCAGGCCACCAAACTGATTACTACACAACTCACTTCTCTTTTTTTGTTTGTTTGTTTGCTTGTTTTGTTTTGTTTTGTTTTGTTTTTATTTTTAATTAATTTATTTTGTTATCAACAATCACTTCCATAAGCTTTTGAGTTTTAAATTTTTCTCCCTCTCCCTCCCCACCTCCCTCCACACGACAGTGCACAATCTGATATAGGCTATACATATATATTCCTATTAAACATATTTTCACATTAGTGATGTTGTAGGTAAAAATTAGAACCAATAGGAGGAACCACCAGAAAGAGGAAACAAAACACAGAAGAAAAAAAATAGCAAATAGTACATTTCGATCTGCATTCAAACTCCATAGTTCTTTCTTTGGATGTGGATAGTGTTTTCCATCATGAGTCTGGAGATGTCTTAGATATTAGTCATCACACAACATGGCTGTTACTGTGTACAATGTTCTCCTGGTTCTATTCATTTCTCTCAGCATCAGACCATACAAGTCTTTCCAGGTTTTTCTGAAGTCAACCTGTTCATTATTTCTTACAGCACAATAGTATCACTTCTCTTTAAAAAAAAAAAATATTTATTTATTTTTAGTTTTCAACATTCACTTTTATAAAATTTTGAGTTCCAAATTTTTTTCTCCCTCTTTCCCTCTCCCCTCCTCAAGATGGCAATCTGATATAGGCTATACATGTACAATCATATTAAACCTATTTTCACATCAGTCATGTTGTGAAAGAAGAATCAAAACAAAAGGGAAAAACAATGAGAAAGAAAAAAACAAAAAAAAATGTGAAAATAGGACGCTTTGATCTGCTTTCAGACTCCATAGTTCTTTCTCTGGATGTGGATAGCATTTTCCATCATGAGTCTTTTGGAATTGTCTTAGATCATTGTGTTGCTGAGAAGAGTCAAATCTATCAAAGCTGATCATCACACAATATAACTCACTTCCCTTGAAAGGCAGTAGATAGGACACAGATCCCCAGAGGGACAAAAGTAAAAGACTTCAGTTAGCTTGTGGGGGAAGAAAAGGACCTCAATGGGGTGATATAAACAAAAACAGAAAGTCTCCCCTCCCCTGGAAAAGGCCTAGTTCAAACTACGCTTGTTCTACCTGAGGAAAGGCAACCTCAGATTTAGCCAAGGTTTAAAGAAAAGGTCTTGCTTTCCTCTCTCCTCCCAAGGAAAGGGCTTCAACTGAGACCAATCCCAGAAGGAGGGACGAACATCAGTGTCTGGGGTGAAGAAAAGGGGTCGGGTGGAAGGAAGGAGGTCTTAACTTAGTTTCACTTCTGAAGGAAGAGGCTGTCTAGGCAAAGCAAAGTACACTGGGACAAAGGAAAGGGCTTCAGCATAGATTGATCCTGGGAATAGAGAAGAATTCAGTTTCTGAGGCCTCCACACCAAAAATGAATAATCCACCAAAAATGGATCAATAAATGATGCATGATGCCAGGGAAGACTTAAAAAAAACCACAGAATAACCCCAGAATACCTACAATCAAAACCTCAAAGAAAAAAAAAACACAGCTTGCCCACAAGAATAATTAAAACTCCTAGAAAAACATGAGGCACAACTTCTTAAAAATAAGAAGTATTACAAAAGAAATGAGAACTATGGTGGAGAAACTTGGAGTTGGGGTTGGGGGCAGATCAACACCTTGACACAAGAGATACAAAATCTAACCTTAGTAATTCCCTAAAAATTAAAATGGACCAAATAGAAGATAATGATTCTAGGAGTCAAAAAGAATTATTAAAAGAAAGTCCAAAATTGAGAAAATAAAGGAAAATGTAATGTACTTGGGAAATAGATCAAGAGATAATGAGAATAATTGAGAATTGTCATTTTGAGGTTTCTTTCAGGAGATGATTGGTAGATTTTTATCTATTTTCACGTTGTGCTCTTGTTTTAATAATAGAACACAATGTAAAAATAGAAGAATCCACTTATCACCTCCTAAAAGAAAGCCCCAAATGAAAACTCACAGGAAATAACACACCCAAATTCCAGAGCCTCCACATAAGAGGAAAAAGTAGCCAGAAAGAAGAAATTCAAACATCAAGGAACCATAGCCAGGAATTACGCAGACTTTATCAACTACTCTATGGAAAAACAGCATACACTGAACGAGATGTAGTAACAAAAGGCAAAAGTTTGGTCTACAACCAAAAATAACTTACCCAGAAAAGCTACACCAATATTAGGCCTATGTCCCAAAGAGATCAAAGAAAGAAGAAAAAAGTCCTATACGTACAAAAATATTTGCATACTAAAAGGATACTCATCAATTGGGAAATGAGAAGATCTTGTGTTATGCCATGAAATGGAATGTATCACACTATTTGTGTGAGAATTAAGGGAAAGGATGATTTCAAAAGACATAGATATTAAGAAAAATAAAATAAATTAAAAAAAAAAACACAGATAGACTCTTATGAACTGAATTAGAGTGAAGTGAGCAGAACCAAAGGACCAATTTAAATGAAAACATTAGTATTACATAAATGAACAATTTTGAAAGATTTAATATATCAGAGAAATTATATAAGTCATAACTTGTAAGGTCGAAATTACTATCACTGATGATTTCAGAGGCCTGAGAAAGAAGAATGCTATCTACCTCAATAGCAGTGCAAGAAATTCACTTTTAGAGGAGGTAACCAATATGGGAACATGTTCTAATTGACTATATTTATGTAATATAGGGGTTCTGTAATTTTTTCAGGGAATGAGGGGAGGGGAGAAGGGGGGAAAAGCTTGAAAATTGAAGAATAATTTTTTAAAAAATTTTGAACCAGTTTCCAAAGATTTGGTTTAAGCAACCCCAAGATGAACCAATGTTAACCATACATAAGTCTTATTCCCTAACTGCTTAATCCTAATTTACAAAGTTTGTTGAGATGGGTGGCCCAGTGCTATGAATTAACATGCTTCCCACTGAGATTATAACTTTTGAAAATAAATAAAATAGGCATACACAACATGCTTTCCTTAAAAAAAAAAAGAGGGGGGCCAAAATGTCTTGATTATTTTAACTTTTGTCTGGAGGAAGTATGATTTTAGTTATTCTCTTACTTATGTTTAATCTCAAATCTCTTAGTTTTATGAATAGAAAGTGTGTCTCATGTATTTACAACGCCCTAATTCTCTCTTTTTTCCCCAGACATACTTTAAATGGCACATAAATGAAAATAAAATGAAAAAAGAAGACTCCTGCTTGTGAAGCATCATAGGAATTGCTATATCCACCATAACCTGATTGTTCTGTGGCAGAATTGTATTTGCTCAAAAGATGGTGATCATACCATGAAGCAGCTCAAGACAGGTGTTTAGCATGAGCTAATACAGAATTTCTCACGTGTTGGTTTCCTGTGAGGAGTTTTACTGTCACAGTTGAAGCAGCTGTGTCCCATTTTTAATTAAGAAATTTAGAATATAGTTCCCTATGTTTTCCTTGGTAAAACTCCTGAAGAATTTCTTCCTTTAAAAAAAAAAAGTTCAAATGAAGATTCCTTGGAAAAAAAGTAAAAATGTGCATTTATAATAATTTTTAACCCAACAAAATGTGAGTAAAAAACAAACAAAAAACAAACCCTGAGCTGTCTCAACTGGTTTGGTGATATCTTTGCAGTTAGAGTAAATCACTTGGACAAATTTTCATGATTCAACATTCCTGAATGTAGCTTCTGGGGACAGGGCTTTAATGCAGTTGAATGTTTTAAATGATTCCAGGGGTGGGGAACCTGAGGCCTTGAGGCCACATGTGGCCTTCTAGGTCCTTGGATTCGGCCTTTTGTCTGAGTTCAAGTCTTACAGAACAGCTCCTTTTATTAAGGGGATTTGGTCTGTGAAGTTTGGATTCAGTCAAAGGGCCACATCCAAGGATCTAGAAGGCCACATGTGGCCTCAAGGCGGCAGATTCTCCACCCAAGGATTAGACCTACTCTATCTTCCCATGAAAAGGAAATCTAGTCTAGAATAAGATACTTGTCTGCAGCTCAGGGCATGGACCAAGTTTTGTTGAGTGGTAGCCTATGGGTTTAGAGACCTACTAATTTTTTTACTTCTTCTCGTTTTCTTCATTTTCCCGTTCTTCTCCGCTTTGTTCTTTGCACCAATTTATATGAGTTTGACCTTCATCTGATCTGTTCCCATAATTGATATGACTGGTGTGGCAACACATCAATAACATTGTGAGGACTGATCTATTGCTGGACCCTAGATAATAGAAGTGATTCTATATCTGCCCATTGATTGACCCATCCATGCACCCAACAACTAGCTTGGTCAGCTACATTTAGCAATGCAAGGTTTGCAGACTATCAGGCTAGCAAAATTCATCTAATCCAAGTGTGTAAGCTTGTCAAACGACTAATTACACTGTCCTTGTGGCTGATAAGGGAAATCACTGCCTAGACCATCGGCAGATTGACTGCTCCTATGGTCACCTCTCACTCACTGCATGTGAATCTATCCAGCATCAACAGTCATATATAAGGGCAGAGACCCAAGAGATCTGAGACACCCACCGATGTGCACCCATGGGACTGAAGGGTGAAAACACTATACAAACATAAAGGCCTGTGAGTAATAAACTACCTGATTTTTGATCATCTGAGCGCTTATGTTCCTTCTATGTACCTCCTTATTCACAATGCCCTCATGACCATTAAAAATGTGAAAAAAATGTGTGACCCTGGGCAAGTCACTTAACCCCAATTGCCTCACCAAAACAAACAAACAAACAAAAAATATGAAAAAGGGTAGCTATTAAATTAGCAACCACAGAATTTTCCTTGTTTTATTATCAGGTCTTAGTTCTTTGTTATTAACAGTTTTAATGAATAGCAAAGACAATTCTTTGTGTACTGGCCTATATTTTAGGCTGTGGTGATAATCATGTTTTTAGTTTTTAAGCACAAAGTTTACCTAATCCTCAACTCACTGAATAGGCCTGTACTACTATTTCTCTTTGAGGTTACTATCTGTGATCTGTCCAAACAAGGGGGAATGGTTGAATCATCCAATAATTAGTGATTTCTTAGAAAAATGTTTTTTTAAGCTAAAGCTCACAAATTTAATCTCTATTTTGTAATATTGCTACTTCATATGTTTCTAACAATTATTTTTTTAAATCTTAAAAATATTTCCCTTAATCTAAGACAACTCCAAAAGACTCACGATGAAAAACGCTATCCACATGCAGAGAAAGAACTATGGAGTCTGAATGCAGATGGAAGCATACTATTTACTCTCTTTTAGATAAAATGGACAATTCTGATTATGTAAATTTGAAAAGTTTTTGCACAAACAAAACAATACAGCTAAAGTTAGAAGGGAAACAGTAAACTAGAAAAACATCTTTGCAACAAATTTCTCTGATAAAGGTCTCATTTCCAATTTACATAAGGAATAGATTTAAATTTATTCAAATTTATAAGAGCTGTTCCTCAACTGATAGATGGTCAAAGTATATGAGCAGCAGCTCTCCAAAGAACACATCCTATCTGTCAATAAGCGTTTGTTTAAAAAAAATTTTCAAATTGCTATTGGAGAAATAAAAATTCAAAGAATATTAAAACTTTGATTATTTTCCTCATATCCATCACATTGGCAAAAAATAACAAAAGTTGGATTAGCTGCAGAAAAACGTGTATATCAATGTACCTTGAACTATGAATTGGGCCTGGTCATTCCAAAAAGCAGTTTGGAATTACGCCCAAGAAGCTAGGTCAGCTAGGTGGTGTTACTACACCAGGGCCTGGAGTCAGGAAGACATCTTTCTGAGTTCAAATCTGGCCTCAGACATTTAATAGCTGTGTGTCCTTGGACAAGTGACTTAACCCTGTTTGCCTCAGTTTCCTCATGTGTAAAATGAGCCGGAGAAGGAAATGGCAAACCACTCCTGACCCTAAATGGGGTCATGAAGAGTTGGATTGTAAAACAATTGCCACAGTATGAGCAAGAGTCAATCTGTTATCCTCTCCCTTCCTCCTGAGGCTTTCCATTTCTTCCTAATGGTAATCATTAAGCCCTGAAGGAGAGGGTCCCCCACATCCTTGCCCAGAGAAGCACCTATGAATCTGTTCATGGCCAGCCCCACTTAAGCACAGGTTGTAGGGCTACTTTCAAGCTCAGCTGCCTTTCAAGAGAGATACACCAGATTATAGATTCAGGGACATAATTTCCACTTCATCTCTAAACTCCATTCTACTTAAAAAGATGTCTCTCTCCAAGAGCTTCAGACTCAGTGTACACAGACTGCCATGTAAATAAGGATGGCACTATCTTCACGAGAAGTTTAAAGCAAAAATATAGCTTGACTGTTGGAGTAGGTCTCTCAAATTCCCATTTGGGCTTGGAAGCCAGGTCCTAATTGGTAGCAGAAAGGTTTCTGGGATGCAACAATGCAGTGACATTTTTTAATAGTGAATCTGACTTCCTGGGGTAACTGAATCAGTCTCCAGGCAGAGTTAACACCATCCTGGAGAAACTCGACATTCTAGTATTTGGAAAAGACAAAATTAACAGGAAAGGGGGAGGGAAATTGACATTTCTGAAGATCACTTTATTTTCCAGATTGCTAGGCCTTTAAAAAACAACAACGACAATAATACTTCTCTCATTCCATCACCCACCCTGATCCCTATTTTGTGAACAGGTTCATTCCTAGAAGGAGCACAGGAATTCCATGAAGAATTAAAAGGGGTTTCCTAATTTGGATAATATAGCAGTGATATGAAGAACAGCTTTGTTTATTTAATATGTAGCCTCTGTACTAAATAACTTCATTTTCTATCAGCTTTAGTGGGAAGTTAACCTACATATATATATGTATATATATATATACACATATATTAACATACACACACACACACACACACACACACATACATATATATATATATTTTTTTTGCTTAGGCATTCTGGGTTAAGTGACTTACCCAGGGTCACACAGCCAGTAAGTGTCATGTGTCTGAGACTAGATTTGAACTCAGATCCTTGTGGCTCCAAGGCCAGAGCTCTATCCACTGCACCATCTAGCTGCCCTTAACATATATTTTTAAAATGCAAATTCAAATTCTCTCAAATTTTTATTTTTCAAAAATTAGAGTGGGGTTGTTTTCTCCAAAGAACCAACCAGCCTCCATTCAAGTCAGATGATTAGTTAGGCCAGGGCTTTGACATCCCCACTGCCCAATGTTGAGTCAGCTGGTGACCACAAGGCCTCTTTCAGGAAAACTTCCTGGATTACAAAATGATGGTTTCCATGCTCCAGGGAAAGTCTCTCTGATTCCAGGTGATTTTCAGAAGGGCAAAATTTTAGCTTAGTAGAGCAATTCCCTTCCTGGATCACTGCCTTGTCATGGCAGAAGCGCTCGTGTAGCTCAATGAAACTACAAGCTATACTCTGCAGGGTTACCCAAGACAGGTCATAGTGGAGAGTCCTGACAAAAGGTAATTGACTGGAGGAAGAAATGGTAAACCTCTCCAGTATCTTTGCCAAGAAACCCCCACGGACAGCATTGAAATGATAAAAGATTTGACACCAGAAGATGAGCCCCTTAGGTCAGAAGGTGTCCAATACATTACTGGGGAAGAGCAGAGGACAATCACAAGTGTAGCTCTAGAAAGGATGAAGGGGATGAGCCAAAGCCAAAAGGAAGTTCAGCTGTGGATACGTCTGGTGACAAAAGGAGAGTCTGATGCTATAAAGATCGGTATTGCACAAGAATCTGGAATGTAAGATCTATGAACCAAGGTCAACTGGATGTGGGCAGCTAGGAGGTACACGGGATAGAGCAATGGGCTTGGAACCAGGAAGCTTCATCTTCCAGAGTTCAAATCCAGTCTCACACACTTACTAGTTGTGTGACCCTGGGCAAGTCACCTTGCCTTGTTTGCCTCTGTTTCCTCATCTGTAAAATGAGCTGGAGAAGGAAATGGGAAACCATTCCAGTATCTCTGCCAAGACAACCCCAAATGGGGTCACAAAGAGTCGGACACAACTGAAACAACTCGGCAACAACAAAGCAGGACGTGATTAAACAGGAGATGGATGGGTTTTTGTTGTGCAGTGCCTGCCTCTTTGTGACCCCATTTGGGGTTTTCTTGGCAGAGATACTGGAGTGGTTTGCCATTTCCTTCTCCAGCTCATTTTACAGATGAGGAAACAGAGGCAAACAAGGTAACGTGACTTGCCCAGGGTTACACAGCTTGTAAGTGTCTGAAGCCAGATTTAAACTCAAGAAAATAAGACTTCCTGACTCCAGGCTCATCACTCTATCTACTATGCCACCGACCCTGCCCTTGAGGGAAAGGTTAGCTTCTTGGGTATTAGCGAACTTAAAAAGATGGAAATGGGTGGATTTAATTCAGGTGATCATTACATATACTACTGTGGACAAGAATCCCTTAGGAGAAACAGAATAGCCTTCATATTCAATAAAAGGGTAAGAAAAGCAGTAAC